CAAAACATCTCGAATCGGTCAAATTGTAGTACGTTACAATGGGTTTTCTTTTCTATTTCTCCTTGATTTACGTAATTGTTTTCCAATCAGCACTCCTACTAGCCATGGATACGGCTGCAACAATTTCCGACGGCGGTCATACGGCGGCGTTCTCGTGTAGATCATATTGTGGGAACTTAAGCATTGACTACCCTTTCGGGGTCCGTCCCGGATGTGGCCATCCGGGATATCGGGACCTCTTGTTCTGCATCAATGACGTCCTCATGTTCCACGTACAATCCGGGTCATACCGCGTTTTGAACATAGACTACGCCTACCAAACCCTCACACTCGACGATCCTCACATGTCGACGTGCTCCGCCATCGTGCTCGGCAACCGCGGCAACGGCTTCGTGGTCGAGCCGTGGCGGGCCACCTACCTCCAGCCCACCACAGACAACGTTTTCATGCTCTTAGGATGCTCTGCGGAGTCCCCGCTCTTCCAGGGATTCCGCAAGGGCAAAAACTTCCCATGCCGGAACGTATCCGGCATGGGCTGCGAGGACTACTACGACTGCCCGGCGTGGAACAATGTTATCGGGCTGCCAGCGGCTAAGAAGAGGATGTGGCCCGCCTACGCCGGCCCGCCGGAGTGCTGCGCAGTCGCATTCGGAACAATGAAGGCCATAAATTTGACCGAGCTGGATTGCCAAGGCTATAGCAGTGCCTATAGCCTTGCGCCCCTGAGATTGCAGGGTGCAGAGGACTGGTCTTATGGGATCAGAGTGAGGTTCTCTGTTCATGGAGACGAAGTTTTTTGTAAATCCTGCCAGGCAACCGGTGGGACCTGTGGATATACGGCGGCGGCCGGCGGTAAATATACCAATGCGTGTATGTGTGGTTCTTGGAATTCTACCTCCCATTGTGATTCACCTGCAGGTAATTTTACTCTAACCCGATATCGTTGTGATGAGAAAATCAGAGTAATTTTATTTTTAAGGTCTTTTATGAATGATCACTTATCACAACATAATGAACATTTTTAATTTTTTGCCAAAGATTTATATAATCTCAAACTTCTAAATGTATGTGAGTTTTCCCTACACGGCTACACGAAGTTGCCAAATCATGATCAACGGTCAGCACTATTCGACTTCCGTTGACTAGCTCGATCAGCAGTAACTTCTTCCCAATGTTTTAAGACTTTAAATGGATTGATTTGAATCTCAAAACATATCAGACCTCACTTAAATAGATCAAATTCTCATATTAGAATGTCTCTTTCCAACTAAAAACATTCAAAATATCCCCAAATAAGTCATTAGAATTGAATTTGTTGACATTAGTCATAGTTAGTCATAGCTACCAGGGACACACTTGTATATAAATGAGGTGTTGTACGGATGTACTTATAACACATTTGATTGGTTCAAGTTACTATCTCATTATTTATTACTCCCCAATATTTAAATTGTTCAATTTCAATATTTTAATTGATCACATATGCAAAGTAGGATACATTTGGTTATCTTAGAATTTGTCTATATACGGAGTATAATTTTTTAGTGTAACCATATTCTTCAGTTTCTCCTTTATTCAAATATCCAATTGTGATTCAATTTTTTTGAGAAAACTAAAGTAATTGTATACATACTCCGTATGCTGCAGCTGCATTTCACTCGGGTTCCACTAGAAGAACATGGCGCTTTATGGACACGCTAGCAGGTAGGGTTCCTTCGCCTTTTTTGACTCCCCCAAAAATGATACCAACCCTGCAAGTCCCCATCTTGCTTTGCTTCATTTCCTTGGGAATATTATACAAAATTGTGGTCTTTCCAGCTAAATTTTCGGTTATGAGAAGGTCCAAAATTTTGGCCAACAAAACCACGAATAAGCAAGAAAAATGGTCATGTACCAATTGACAGTAAAGTTAAAGGCATGACCTAGTTGATAAGAGATGATTAGTACTAAAAGTGAATTAGTGAAATTGTTTTTTATCAAATGATTTTCAACACCGCTCGTTATTGATTTGCTTTTTGTGTTGCAGGATTCTTTGTTTGTACAATTTTGTTGAGAATTCCGAATATTGCACCGAATGTGGCCTGGTTCAATTAAGGGTTATACACGTTGAGCGTCATTCCCCGCATCATGATTCATAATAAAGCTCAAAAAAATTCTTAGCTTGAGTGGCTTATATGTAAAGAGACGGAGGCTAGACAAATATATAGCATATTTAAATTTGTATGTACCATGGTTAGGAGTATAATAATAGAAGTATATTTTGTATCATAGGGAAGTAAGGGAACTACATATATAGATGGTGGTATCATGGACTGCAACCATGATGTAATTGAAGATCACATGCGTGAAACCCATTGTACGAGTCGGGACTGATAAACTAAGCCCATTAATCAATTGTCTAAAGAGATCATGACCCGCGAAAGAAACCTACATTCAGATTGTCACGCCTCAGACCACATCTAGGCGTGTGTGCAATCGCCGCACAATCAAGTGACGTCACCCGCAGGTCACACCCACTCGATTGTACAAGACGTCCATGAACATAGTTCATTCCATACTCAGTAAGTAAACATACATAACAACATCACACTTTAAATTGAATGAATAGTGAATATATTCATAAGTCAATCATGGACCACATATGGCAAAACGTGGGCTGGCACGGCCAAAACATAGTATCCAATACAAAATATCCATGAACATAGTTTGTAGTTTAAAATCAATAAAGGAAGTACGAACCACGTCTTCTTTGAAATAACTTCACTCGTGCAAAGGTGCAGATAGCAAGCCCTAGCTACAATCTGAAAATGGCGATGGCCCTCAAAGGGGTCAAGTACACATGTACTGGTGAGAAGCGGGCTAAATATAAAATAACTAACATTTCAAGTATAAGATCCAAACATACACATATAGTTTCCCCCAGGTATTTGAATACATATAAGTATATACACTTGGAAAATACCGACCTGTAGGTCATTTAATTAAATCGATAAAACCATGGTGGACTTAGTCCTTGACTATCCCCTGTCCCCATATCCAACCCGGTGCTTAGCTCTCCCGCTATAACCTAGGGTTCATTATATAACTGAGTGTTGATAGCCTTACTCAACCATCAAGCCACTCTCCCGGTAATAAAAAGTTTTAAGGACACCATCTGGTCCTAGGGCACTCCACCCAATTTCTGAGTTTTAGGACACCGCCCGTCCCTAGGTACTCCACCCCTAATATACAAGTTTTGAGGACAACGCCCGGTTCGTGGGTACTCCATCCGAACCTATGAGTTTTGTTGACACCACCCGACCCCTATGTACTCCACCTGAATCTATGAGTTTTGAGGACACCATCCGGCCCCTGAGTATTCCACCCGAACCTATGATCTACCATATACCTTACCCAACTATGGTCTATATCATTTCATATCAATGACTAATCCAAGTCTTAACATCTAAACAAAATATTCCATGCAAATTCATGCAAAATATACATATATAGAATGACCGGGATCGGGTCTACCTCGAAATGGCCCTGATTTGCAATTTTTTAAAATAAAAAACAGCCCCGAAACTCTAGACCAAAGCGGCGTTGGTTTGCTGCCCGATCGGCGTAGGTTCAATAAATTTTCCCTAGGAACCGACTGGTAGTTTCCAAACTGGCGCCGGTTCCGACCACTAGCCGGCGCCTGTCCACTGTCTGCCACTGGTCAACACCTCGTTGACCGCCCGAACCGATCGAGTTTGATTGCTCCGAAACTTATACACAACACATATTAAGTCATAAACAATCAATATTTGTCATTTTTGTCATTCAAAACATCACATATACTTTTATATACATTTTATACCTTTTACATGCAGATTCATATAACATATTCAATTATATGTGCCCAGTACTCACATAAGCATATTCATCTGCCTACCAGCGTGGATGGGAGTTTGCAAATCCAGCGGGCAGCCTGCCTTCCATCCTGCCGCGCAGCTTTCCTTTTAGCCCAACGGAGAGCCTGTCTTCCGACTCATAGGGGAGCCTGTCTTCCAGTCCATGTAGAAGCCTGTCTACTAGCCCATCTAGAAACATGCCTTGCATCCCAATGGGGAGCCTGCCTTGCAGCCCAAGGAAGAGCCTGCCTACCACCCTGGTCGGAAGCTGACTGTCAGCCTAACTGGAAGCCTGCCTATCAGCTCAGTGACTCAGTGAGGAGCTTGCATGTCAGCCCGCCAAGGAGGGAATTCAAGCATCCGACTTGCAATTCTGGAAGAGCAACACCCAAACCGAAGTCTGCCTACCAGCCCAGACAGGAGCCTGCCTACCAGTCAAGAGTTGGCCTGCTAGTCCAACAAAGAGGTGTCCTTCAGTTCGACAAAGAGGGAACTCAAACATCCATCATGCGAGCCAGCATGACCGACAATCCAGAAGAGTAACATCCATGGACAATCAATACTACACTGACTAATTATGTAGTTAACTATGTATTAATGTTGTAATTAATTAGTCGTTATTTTACTTAGCAGTTACAATTTGTAAATGCCCATAAAAGGCAAATGTAATCCAAATGAGAAAGACACACTACTTCTAGCTACTAAATTCTCTAGCAACTTTCCTTTTTCATATGTTCTATTTCTCACCGAGTGTTCTTTCGTAACTTTCTTGAAAAGCCTACGAGCGTCCATTATTTTCCAAGATTTCATGCATGTGATTGTGTAGGCTCATAGTCCAGGCTCAAGTAGATGCAAGGCTTGACTAAAATGCATACACAAGAGAATCAATGTTAATAGTGTACACACCATACTCATACACGCCCATTACTCGGTCAGTTTTGTGTGCATTAACGTTTTTTTATTTTATTTTATGAAATAAATACTAAATTGTTTGTGACATAGATAAAAAATGTAGCACATGTAAAATAATTTATATGTACACGGACAAAAAGAGGCGTCTACACGACGTGTACATGTTGGGGCTTTGGAGGTGTACAAAAGGAATTATTCGTCAATGTTTATGTTGGAAGTGTGATTCATTAAATCCAATATTGTGTACCACCAAAGTAATCAACGATTCAGGACTGTGTATATATATTCCTACTAACAAACCTCACTATCCCCATTCCTTATGAGGTGTAAATGTGTAATAAATACATCACTATTAGTACTACAAATTAAATCCCTTTTCCATTTGTTTTTCCTTCTTGTCAAATGCCCCACTCCCACTCCCCCGAATCTCAAAATCAAAATATACAAAGGAGTTGAACGTATTTCTCTTAACTTCAGCTCCCTTGTGAAGATATCTAACTAAATTAAAGTTCTGTTTGGCAACTCGCCGTTGGCCATGGAGTAAACCTCGACCCTTCGATCCTTCTATCATCTTGCACACTGATAAGACAGAGGAAACCTTTTGGACAGATAATGGTGTTTGAACTTCATTACCATAACAAACATGCCATAGCATGGTATGTGCATTAACCCCAGCGATAAATACCTGAATTTTCATCACAATTATCATCATCATTTTATCATTACACTTGATTAATTATTTATTAATTAAGCAAGCAGAGGAATTAATTTAAAAGAAAGAAGCAAATTAAGTCAAAGATTGCATACCATAAAGGAGCAAAGGGAGAAGACAGTTTAAGGAAAGGGTATGGCCACCTGTACATATCACATGAATTTTAAAGATCACATCATTTGAGTAAATGAATAAGGATGATTTAATAATCTGAATGATACCATATTGGGCCTCAATTCAAGGGCCATAAATGGAAAATTAATCTCGGGCAAGGTGTATGATCTACTAAGGGTTAAGGGAGAGACTAGGACTACGATGAGCTTCATTTGGAAATCTTATATCCCCCCGAAATTTTCATTCATTGTATGGTTGGCCCTACGAAACCGGCTTCCTACTCAGGATAGCCTCAGTTATTTGCATATTGTGAATAGATGTGACTTATGCAAGGGTGGTTTGGAAACAATACCACACCTTTTCTTCCAATGCCCTTTTACATGTAGGGTATGGCAACGAATTAGGGAATGGATGGGACTTAGCCACCAAATGACCACGCTAGCTAGCTCAGTCAAATGGGTGCTAAAGACGCACAAAGGCGCGAAGTTGAAGGGCAAAGCGGTGAGATTGGCATTCTGTGCTTCGGTATACTACATTTGGAGAGCAAGGAACAAGGTTAGGTTTGATGAAGTGACGAAGAATGAGGAAGACATTGTTGCTAAGATCAAGATTGTGGTTTACAAGATACTCTTTAGTATCTATCCACAAGAGTTGATCAAGTTCTGAGGAGAAGGCCGCGACATGGATATTATGGATGCCGCGGTATGGATAGATTGCTACATGACTGTTTGATGCCCCGAGGAATGGATATCTTGGATGCCGCGGCTTGGACACTCAGGACACCGTGGCATGGACATCATGGATGCCTCGGCATGGAGAATGGTCTTGGATTTTAGGGTGTGTACATCGTGCAACATCTTTGTACTTTGTTTGATTTTTAGCCTCTGATCTGTGTGCGTGCATATGCAGCATCGATGTATTTTTGAACCTTTTGATGGGTCAGGTTTTATACCTGGTCATTTGGCATAGAATAGATCGAATAAAAACCTACTTTCACTCTCACAATATGTGGGAGTGGGGGAGGTTTTAGGAGATCTAGGATATGTGATGTATAGTTTTTCTGGGTGTTAATATATATTTACATTTCATCCAAAAAAAATGAATAAGGATGATTTTACTTGGACTATAATTTGCTGGTCTGGTCTGTTTAAGTCTGGTCTAGTTTGGTCTGATCCGTTTAAGTCTGGTTTGGTAAACGTTTGGTCTCTGTGTATTTTATAACAACAAAAGTCGAGTCTGGTCTGGTCTGTTTAAGTCTGATCTGGTCTAGTCTGGGACTGAAAACAATTCAAGTAAAAACATGATAAGTATGAGAAAAATGAAAATATGAGAGTTGTTTACCAAATTTGGTTGCAAGCATGGAGAGCCCATTGGAAAATGACATAAATAGATGTCCACAGAATTAAATATCCAATTCTAAACCAAGGGAAGCGCTGAAAAAAAAAAACATTATCAATATTTAAATATTCAATCATATTCAGGAAAAAGGTAAGGGATTATGTTGGTGTTCTTGATACCGTGTTGTAAGGGACTTTGGATCACGGGTTTGTGTTTTCGTATACGGAGTATTCAGGAAAAAGGCAAAGGATATATTTCCTCCCTAACTTTTCATAGCAATGTTTTGACTTTAAGTTTCAAACTAGAAGTGAGCAAATTCGAATTCAAACCGCAAAACAAAAGTATTCATACATAGTGATGTATGTTAATCTTATGGTGGGCGGAAGCGGGAGAAACTTTTTTTTTTTTGCGTCAATATTTCGTGTAAATTTCTTCATGTTTCATAGTTAGCTCAATCGGTTAATCTTTAAAACTAATATACATTCGGACCAATCCAAGTGTTTTCAAGATTTTTGATAAGATGCGGTGTAAAGTACTAAAGTTAGAAATTCTTAGAATATTTAGGATTGGTTTCAGCCCCCGATTAGATTTAAACAGATCAGATCAGACTTCGACAATTGTAAATACACATCAAACGTATATCTACTACACCATGCGCAACTTAAACAGATTGGATCATACTAAAAAATTTCAGCCAAATTAAAATCACCCTTAGGTCCGGATTCCTTAGATGGTTGTTTTTTTAAAACTTTTTTTGAAATACCCCGTAGTTTTAAATATTAAGCACATTTTAAGAATTAATTCAGATTTAATTCAACTTTTATAAAAGCAAAGTATATGTTTAGAGAAGATCATTAGAAAGCAAAGACAAGGGAATAGTTCAAATAAAAAGCCCGCTTCTCGTGCAAAGTGCGAATATATGCATTTTTTTATGTTTCGCTTGCACTTTTTCGTGTTTCTGTTGCACTTTTTCAACACTACATTTGGTTGAATTTGAGTGGTTCTAACTTTCAATTCAATTAGGGGGCGTAGCTCATCTGGTAGGAAGGGGGTGTCACAAGAGAGAGGTCTCAAGCTCAACTCAATGCAATGACTTGGAATGGAACCCCACTCTCATATAACTTTCCAATTGATTCTGGGGGACCCTTAGGGATGATGTCATCCTATTTTATTGAGTGGATCTAATTCATTCTCTCTTTATTCACACCTTATCAATTCAGTAACAAATCATAGAACACTGCTTTAAAAAAAACACCCCTCATATTCTTATCTTAGGAGTAGAGGTACTACATAATTAAGTATCGTATGATAAATACGTAGTATGTTAACTTATGCAGGTGTCAATTATTCTTTATTCTTTTATTGATTATTCTTTTATTTTTACCTATTCTGTGATTGATAAATTTGTCCAAACCAAGACATTTCATTCAAAATATACAAAATAATAAACAAAAATGATCTTTGTATACACTCTTATACCCACATTTGTACCCACCTATGTTTGTGAAGGTTTTTTTGTCTGTGAATCAGGGCTCACAGACAATATTTTGCACAAACAAAATATTGTCTGTGAATCGGGTTCATAGACAAAAAAACCTTCACAAACATGATAAGTATAAGGTGGGTATAAGAGTGGGTACAACAAGCATTATTGTTGAATAATAAAATGTCCCCGTACGTTTAAGAATTAGTCTCTCGTTTTCATTTTGGGTTGTGGTAAAGTAAATGATCTGTTTCTTTTTTATTTATATTACTAAAAGTAATACGTAGTTATTACTTTTCAATCATTTTATAAATTTATTTATGAATAATATTGTCAAACTGAAATGAGCAATGTACTGCCTTCCGATTACTTCAAAGCCCAAAAAATGAGCCCAATGTAATACAAGAAACATTGTTGAATGAGCAGATCATGCATGACTTACCAAACAGTTCAGCGCAGCCTCTATAAGCAGGACAATCACATTTACCAAATGCATGCCTATCATCAACTGCAATTAATTAAAATAATAAATACACTGCAATAAAAATATATAGACAAAAGACCCTATTTTTTATTTTATTCGTCGCGTAACTTTCATTTACATCCATTTTTTAGTTTCATAACTTTACTTATACGAGTAAGATCCTAGATGTAATAACTTTATCTGAGTTTCTGATTACAATTTCTGGCAAAAGCAGATTGGAAATGCCAACACTAACGTGACTTTTCGGAAATTGGACATTATATTTTGGCAGCGAAGTTACTAAAGTTACTGGACTAGTACCAAACAGGTTAATAAGTTACATTAATAATTTTGCAAATACTACGAATATAAAACATGTGGATATGATCCTTACAGAATTCAAATTATAGCCTTTGATGGTCAAACATGGTACAAGCACAAACCAATAGACACAATCTGTAAGAGTTGCTGCTCCGGCATTCACCTGTTCACAAGAAGGAAAGGAACACATTGAAGCTAACAACAACGTTTAGAGAATAAAAACATAGAAACTGCTCGAAATAGAAGTAAAGAATAGACAAAGTTCTAACTTCTAAAAATATGACTAAGGGGGTGTTCCGATATGATCCAGGGAGTAGAAGCAGAAGTTGTAGTGTATGGGTGAAAGTGCAGAAGTGATTCTCATGCTCTAATTTACTCCTAAAATTGGTTTTTTTTAGAAGGTGGGAGGAGACAGCTTCTGAAAACTGATTTTGCTTCTGCTTTAAAAAAGAAGTATAAGCAGAATCAATTCCAAACACTCCCTAAATATGTTTTCTTCTTAAAATAAGACGTAGAAGATAGAAAAATTAAAGAAGCAGCACCTGGAAAATTATTTGAAAAATATAGCACAATAAGTTTGCAACTTTTCTGTTTGGTTCTTCATGTGCTGGGGACTGTTTTGCATTTGCAGGATGGGAAAATAGATCGGCCGATCCAAACTCTGCATCATCAGACCTGGGATTATGATCTGTTTCACTGCTGATTCTGTTATTATGGTATTGGTAGCACCCATACATCGATAGCATTGACCCAAGCTACAATGTCATAATGTAAAATTAGTGTTCATGCATGCTAATATGTAAGTAATAAGATATGGGAAAAGTTTGTAATAGTAATATTTCATGTATCTTTGGTTTAATTTTCAAGCCAAACTTCATTAACTTTTGACCATTAGTTTGTGATTATAATATTTCATGTGTCCTTGTTTTCAGAATTGAAAATAGCCTTAATCAATTTTATCAAGACTATTAAGAGCCTGTTTGGTAGCACGAAAATAGGCTGATGTGGCTGATTCTGCTGAAATGTATGAAGTTCTGGCTGAAGTGCCTACATTGGCTGATTCTGCTGATTTAAGAAAAAATTATTTTTAAAATATATTTTATTAATAAAAAAAATTATATGTAAAAATAGCTAAAATGATCATCATCTACATTAATTTCAGCCAATACAGCCAGAAAAGCAACTACAGTCTTATTTTTTCTGCTTATTAAACAATTCAGCGTGAGAAAGTAAAAGATACGTGTTTGGTGAAAAAGTTGGTTGATAAGCCTGATAAGCCGAAAAAAGTGTTGCGAAACGGCCTCTAAATTATTTAACAGTTAATAGTGTATATCTTATACTACGTACTACGTATTACTTCCTCCGTTTCTTTTTAATTGCAACAGTCAACATTTCACGTTTGCCAATACACAAGTTTGACCATTAATATCTTTCATTCCTTATTAGTAAAAATTTTGAAAAATTCATATTTTGAAAATTTAGAATGAGAAGAATTTAACAATATTTTTAAAAAAATTAATTTATAATACATTAATTAATAAAATATAGTCAAAGTAGAATACGTGACTAGTGCAAAAAGTCCAATGTTGCAATTAAAAGAGAACATAGGTAGTATAATAATATAATAATAGTGAAACATACATCAAAGACAGTGCAAGTCAAAATGAGACTTTATTTTGATGTTTCTTTTAGTTTTGAAGTGTGATAGTAATATTAAATTACTACGTAGTACATAGTATTTACTAATGACATAATTAAGATCCAGCATTGTCATTCGCATTTTGCAATTGTTGACCAACTAAGTTAATTGACGACATTAATACATGTAGCAAAGCTGAGTGAGAGTGTGAGACGACAGGAGTATAAAAGAAACTGTTTTACTATATTCTACTACGTACTCCGTATAATATAAATATAGGTTTTGTAAAAATCACTCTTAATATGAAAATTGAAAACCGTTTACTTTTAAATTTCGGTCGAATCATGCTAAATAAAAAATGTGGTGACATTTGTGTAAATAAGTCAAAATTTTCTGTCAATGCGAAAATGTGCAACATAAAAACCTAATAGTGTATCTGGGAAAAAGTGAACGGCTGTAGTTTTCACCGGATAAATGGTTTTTATTTGATCTGTTCCCTATAAATATAATGTACTTTTTAATTACATAATTAAATTCACAATTAACTTGCTGAATTTTCAAAATTGACATTTAATCGCTGATATTTAAAAACATAAACTTAGACTTCATCCTCCGTAAAATCTGAATAACTAACAGGTCGAAATTAATACGAGTAATTTTAAAAGTAACAGTCAAATTAAACTAAATAACGGTCAAGATTAATACTTTCTGAATAAGTGAATAACTCAGGTCGAAATTAATAAATTTCACTCAAAAAAGTGTTAATAGTACGTCAATTATGACGTTGAAGACCGTGATGGTCAAATAATCATAAAACAATGAGTTGGAAAAGCTCGTACCCCAAAGTATATGGTAACTAATGTGAACGTCCACCTGCATGGTAATTAAGAACCCAAATCAGTACTTCTATAAAACTAATAAAAAATGAATTTGAAAAACAAAAAGGCAGAATTAAGCCAAGCTCTAATGGATATGAACTTACTGAGTATAAAAGTAGAAAATGGAAGAACCATCAGATTTAGCATTAAGAATGAGCATTGAGAGAAGAACAACAAAAGCAACAATTCTGTATCCAAGCAGCCATGCAGGATGAACATTCTTCAGGCATGTCTTCCACACTTCATCTTCATACAAAACTGCAGGCCCACCAGCTTCAGAGGAGAACCCCTCTTCCTGCTCTCTGCTTCCTCCTCTGTTCTTTCTACCACTACCACCTTTTCTGCCTTCATACTTAAATATAATCACACCTGATAAAACCATTGCTATGAAAATCCAAAGGAAGCATAAACCCACCCTCCAGTTCATCCAGTAACTTGAGATGGTTGTATCTTCCACCATCCCTCCAGGCTGCCATGTCACCTTTCTTGACCCTTCTGTGGAAAGACTCATCTTTTTCTTCTTTTCTTTAAAAAAGATGGAAGCAAATCATGCTAGGAGGAGTCTAGGACTGTAAAATTCAAACACAATTAAGCTGGGCATCAATGGAGGATGAGCTGCAACTCTGCAAGCGTTATATATACACAGAAACTGAAATGACTGCAGGGTGTTTGAGGAATTGGGTCAATGAAATTCCCGAAAATCCAGCGAAGCAGAAAGTTTGGGGATGAATTTGAACAGTGGAGATATGCACTTGGAAAATTATGAGTTCTTGGGTTTGATGATTGATCTATCAGAGAGGGGAAAGGGGGGAATGGGAAATTATTAATTGCAAGCAAAGAAAAGGTGGGATACCCACTGGGTAAAGCAAGGCAAATGTGTAAGGGGAGGGAGATGCTTTGCTTCTTTGCAGTGCAGAACCAGAACATTACAGCTAAATTGAATATATATGGATAATAATATTGATAAATATAAATACATACTTAATGGGGAGGGTAAATGGCTGGGTGGCCTTCTTTGAGCCCACCCTCTGGTCTTTTTTATTGCTTCATCTGTTTTGGGTTTTAAGGCCGAATGCTTCAAGTTTCAATAAAACAGCTAATTAAGCAAGTATATGGAATAAAATAATGTATTTTCAAAAAGACAGAAGACGTGGATTGATGAAAAATAAAACAATTGCCTCTCCAAATTGGGTAATTAGATTAAACTGATTCCTAAAGAACGTTTTTATGTAGGTAATATATCTTGTACATCCAATTACAGCAAGCAAGAGTTTTTTTGGTAGATACTTCTAATAGCCTATCATAATATTTCTTCAATGACAACGTTAATTTTTTTAATCGTGAGGGACTCAAACCTATGACCTCTATGACTCCAAAAGTAACAATAAAACATTTGATGAAGTTTTTAATTATACAGAGTATATTTTCATTAACACAATTCATCTAAGCACTCACCGACAAGTTATCATTCTATTAAGAGAGCAAAATATTCTAGTTATAATGATGTAACCTACACATTTATGAATTATAAGTCTTGTAACTTTGTCCAATGATTATAAGTTACAGTAACTCAGTCGGTTCAATAGTGATAAACTTTGTATCTGCGCGCCCGCATCAGGGATCTAACCCAACACACAGGTGCCGCAACCTTCACTTGGTCGTTGTGTGATTAATATTTCAACTTTCTCATCACTCAATCAAGTGAACTACTTGTGTAGGTATGTTTGTTAGCTTTCCATTTTACAGACTTTCATGTTTAAATGTTTTAATTGGGAAAAAAGTTATGCATATGGTCGAAATAATGAACCAAGAGTATTTTTTTAGGAAGTGAAATTTAGTTGGGAAAGGGACGAAATGAGAAGAAATACAACAGTAGATGCATGTTGGGAGTCAAACTTTTTCAGACGAGAGTACATTCCTATAATCTTCTTCTTTTTCGGTTGTGGTATTAACAGCTTTATTCGGTTCTTTTCTGCTGTCTTGATATTCCAAAAAAATGGATCGAATGCACAGACCCCCAGGCCATGAACATGGACCACCAACCGTCACCTCATCACTTGCTTTTGATACATGTGGATTTTCTGTTGGCATCCCATCTTTATGATACATCTACAGTACTTACTACTCCGTACAAAATAAGCCCCCGCCTCTTCAAATAAGTTCAATATAAGCCTCTTTAATCTTTATAACCCAAAGCGCGAAGCCGGTAATGAATTCATTTTGTGTGCGTTTTTTTCTTTTGACCCGGATTTTGCGTGCGTTAAGTAAACATAAATGTACGGTTTTTAAATAAATGCAATATATAGAATTTTGCATTATTCAGATGTTCTATTTTGATTACGTTTTATTTATTAATGTATCAGTATTATTTTATAAAAAAATATTTTTAAATTTGTCTCATTGTAAATTTTCAAAATCTATTTTTTTTTAAAAAAAATTAGTAATACAAAATTATATATATTAATGGTCAAAGATGTGTCTCGGCAAGTGTGAAATGTTAACCGTTGCATTTATTTAAGAACGGAGGAAGTATTATATTTTTCATCCGAGCATTCTTATTATATAAATTCTTGTTGTATGCGCCGGCCCTAAGTCCCTAGCGAGAACTTCTCGTGTAGGGTGTGTTTTTCGTCGTCGTACGTGCGGCGTAGCTTTTTCGACGCATCTCTAGCGTCGTAGTGCGTGGTTTGGACGATCGTGGTAACAGCGGCGGACATGGTTAACGTGGAGGAGAAGTTGATTGATCAATTCAATGACATGGGTTTGGGTCCCACGGCAGGTGCGCTACTGATTGATGATGATGGGGTTTCTGAATCCGAATCCGTGGAGACAGCGAGAGAGGTAACCAATCGAGCGACGAAGGTCCGGCCTCCTCCTGAGCCACCGTAAGGGGTTGAACGAGGTGCTAGGGTTCAAGGCATTTATTTTGCTTGTTTAGATTTTCTCATGCTTTGTCCTCCTCCGATGAGATTTTATTATTTTTTTCATTTGGATTCTCGTTACTGTCTTTGTTGCTAGGTGTGTCAGTTTGTCTGGGATTTTAGTCTTTCTTCATGTCATTAGCTATGTTTGGATCTTTGGAAACAGGGATGGTTGTGTCAAGCTCGATACATGGTTAGCGATTCGTGTTGCTCTTTCAAGGGTGACCGTCTCTAATTAAGTCTCACCATAGGGTTTACAGTCGTAGTTGTTGGTGTCTGTTTGGTGTCTGTTTTGTTTTTCATCTCATTGATGTAATGATCCTGAAACTTATGATATGAATAGAGGCTAGTTTCGTTCAAAAAAAAAGTAAAGAAAAATGTATATATGAATGCAACATGTTTCTTTCTGGATCGGATTAGACCGATACAAAGAATATTTTTTTAAAAAAAATTACATGGAATTCTTTACCTTAAAATTTAGACATTTTTAAAATTTGGGTTGAACCGGGGCCAAAATTGCCCCCTAGCTACGCCCCTATTTGTTGTATTTCATTTCATTATTTATACAGGGTGTATAATAGAAAGGGAAAAGTGGATGTTCTCTCTTCTCTCTAGAGAGAGGGGCGGCTGTCTCCCCTCTTTGTAGGGGTTGCATGAGATACTCCGTCGCCCCTATAAATATGTGGCTGAAGCAGCAGATTATACTTTTGGATTGAAACTATGCCAGAGGAGATAACATCGACGGATGCACGATGTGCGCCTGAGATCAGAGGTTGTATCGAGGCGGGATCGTGAAGCCTTGCTCGGCCATTCCAAAGGTGGTGGAGTTGGTATTCACCCATATTGTAAGAGCTTATCCTCTCCGGAACCACCTCCATAACAGGAAGAACTTTGTTGAAAGATTTCATTTCAGTATTATTTTCTCTTTAGTAGCACTTGTTTTTGTTTTTGTTCGAGTAGATTTGGTTTGAATGTTTGGATTTAATTTTTTGTGTTCTTTTGATAGGCGGGCGGGGTTTCGGTTCTGATCGCTTTAAGCCTAAATCTGTCCTTTTAGGTTTAGCGGGTCATGTTGTTTTGTATGAGGTGGCTGACTCTAAGTTTACTTCTAGGGTTCACGATTGGATCTGTAAATTCTTTCTGAACTTATCTTGTATGTGTTCTCGATTTTAATATAACGGGTGCTCTCTTATGATCAAAAAATAAACAAAAAAGGAGAAATTAGTTACTATATTTTCAGTTACAATTTATTTTAGTGATTTTACAATTAAACATCTAATGTGATCTTATGACCATGGGCTAAACTAGGGGATCATACTAGGTCCGAGCCACTCTATAAAAAAAAATTATCCAAGTGAAATTGCCCTATATAGGACTAACAACGTTTGTTTATTCCAAAATAGGACTAATATGTTTTTATTCTCTAAACATGAGTAATTATTGTCATGTTCTAGAAGTACCAGACTTTAAACTTGATAATAATTACTCCTATTTAGAGAATAAAAACATGACAATTCAGTTTTGGAAATTTCAAAAACTTTAACTTCTATTTTGGGAATTTTCCCATTATTTAAATATCAATGAAACACAATTTGTTGTTTTTTATAAAGTTATTCTTTCTTTACGCCAATCCAGTCCAATTGAGGCCCTGACTATGACATTGCGGATGAGAAAGGTAACAACTCATAACAAATTGTAGCACCCATATGTGGTAATGGGTATGTAGGGGTGAGCGCGGTCCGGTAAATTAGCGAAACTTGTAATGTACTTATGTCTTCGTGAGATTTCTGACGGTTTGTTACGTTTTGGTTCTAGGGATGGAACCATTCGGTACCATGTCATTTTAGAACGGTACAAAACGGTTCGGAACAATGGCAACACATGCTATAATATTTGGACAAGTATTACAATTAGTATATATCATCACATCGTCTAATTCACATGAAATGTTGATAGAACAATAACGAAGTGCATACTAAATATAAGGAAAGATTCAAGAGGTTGAAACTTTTGTATTTAAATTCACAAACACTCAAATAGTGCAACAGAGTTAAAGAAAAATATAGCAAATGACGATACACCAAATACATATCATATTTATTATATTCATGTGAAAATATAAAAAGAGTATCATCTAATTGTTGAATATAATAGAAAAAATTAACATTCTTCTTTTTTGTTCTAGGATGAATATTAGTTCTAATCTAACTCATAGTTGAACCATAAGAGCTATAATTCAAACCATATTAATTAAGTTGTAAAACTACACAAATATGATAAAACAAAAAGTGATATACGCTAATTTACTAGAAATTAATAGTAATTAATGATATTTAGAACTTTAACATGCTTTCAATATATACCAAATATAACATAAATTATTTAAAATGAAAAAATAGCAATATTTAAATAGCTCACACATTTAGGTATTTTAGGGATGCATGAATGCATACTTGTATTGGACTATAAAATTGTTGGTCAATAAAAGAGATTTATTAGCATGAAAGAAATATAAAAATCTCAAATGCATTATTTTTAAACGGTTCAATTCGGTATTTTTCGGTTCTCAAAATCTAGGACCGGTCTCGTACCCATTTGAAATGGTACGGTTCTGGCCCAGTATACGGTTCACAGGGCCAGTCTCAAAA